AGAAACTAACTTTTCTCTGAACCAAGAAAGAAACAAACCAACTGAATCAGGACATTGTGGTGCTTAATAATTGAGAAGCAAAATGTGTTAACCCAATAATGAAATCTAAGATTTTGCTTAAAACAGTTGAGAATAGACTGAGCAGAGAAAGCCAAGTAAAGCTATCTCTGTCCAATTATAAACAAAGTATGTCTTTTTGTACTTAGGAGTCTCTTATGCTCCCAAAGTTTCACTCCCATGTTAACACATTTTTCTACTCAATTATTAAAAACCACAATGCCATGAATTCGCTTGGTCTATTTCTTTCTTGGTTCTCAGAATACCTGGTTTCTTCTTTGGGCTTAGTAGACCTACTCTTAAAAAGCTGAACCAATCTTTTTCTTTATTTAGCATTCTTCTGATTTATATACTTTTGTTTTGAAAGTGTCATGGATTGTTCGCTGAGTCATAAAATTTCTGACCTGGAAAGGACCTTGGAGATCACTTAATACAATTATCTCCTGTTAGAGAAGAGGGAATTGAGGTACAGAGAGGTAGAATGAGTTAAGTAATTCATGTTCCATTTTAGAGAAAGCATACATAGTCTGATGGACACAGGGCTACCCTTGGGGTCAGAACGACCTGGTTTCAAGTCCTGCCTCAGACTCTACTAGCCATACGACCATGAGAAAGTCACTTAGCCTCTAAATGCCTCCAAGCAACTTTCTAAGACTGTAAATTACAAAAGAATTGCCAATTCACATCAAGGTAGAAGGCAGTCCACACTAGGAATTACCCACGTGGATGAAATTACATTTACAGATACAAAATGTTTCCTTTAATAAATAATTATTAATGTAAATTACCAATATAGTATTTTCCTTTACATTACAAATACTGCACATGCCACTTCGTCTCTATGGACCTTGGTATCTCCATCTATAAGTCACAGTTTACAACCATTACTTGTAAGCTACCATCTAACTCTAGCATTCTATTTATTATTCTAAAGAAAATAAACAAAAGTTGTCAAGTGTTTACTATGGATTGAACATCATGAAAAATTAAAAAGAATATAATTCAGTTTCTGTTCAAAAGTCTATAATCTGGTTGGTAAGACAAATCATAAATATGTGAAATACATTAATAAGTTGAAACTCATAAGTTGAAAAACAATTAAAAACTGCAAAAGATGACATGTAATAAAGCTACTTCAATTCCAAATGAATGGCTTGAACAATGGCTGTTGATGTAGAGAAGGGAGAAATAATTGTAGACAAAAATGGTCAGGGAAGAAACAGAAAACATGTAGGATTTGAATAAGTTAAGAAGAGAGGTGACTGGGAAGCAGGGGAAGGTATTCAGGTAAATAACACAGCATGAGCAAAAGTGGAGAAGTGCCAAGAATATCCTGAGTATGATAGATAAACCAGGCTGTTTACGTAGGCCTGGAGATGGCGAGAAAGCTGTGGCTAGCCAATTCAGACTCTTAGTTGCCAGTGTTAAGATTCTGAACTCTATCTAGCCAGTAACGGGGAGTCACTGGAGGTTTCTGAGCAGCTGTGCCATGGTAAGAGCTGTGTCTTAGGAAGATTGTTTTGGCTACTATGTGTTAAAGTTAGAGAGGGGAAAGACAAGAATCAGGGAGGGAGTTACAGAAGCCCACGTAAGAAGTGATGCATTGTGGTTGTGTTTGTGGACAGAAGAAGACAGGCATGAAAAATGTGGTGAAGAAAGGAGTGATAAAAGTTGGTCACTGACTGGATATGAGAATAGGAGCAAAGCATGAATCACCCAGTGGAGGCCCTGGGATAGATGACTGCAAAGACAGTGGTACCTTCAACAGAAAGTGAGAAGCCAGGAGAAGGAAGAGGGTTAGAGGGAGGGAGTGTGAGTTTTGTTTTGGACATGTTGAGTTTGAGCTTCCTACAAAACATCCAGAAGGTGATACAGAAAAAGAGGTTAGCAGTATGTAACTGGAAAAGAACCCTCATCTGCAAGGCACTAATCAGTCAATCATTTCATGTGTATCTGTTTATAATATGCCTGTATATGCTGTTAGCATACATTTACATTGAATAAAATTAGTTCACTATAAAAAAGAAAAAGGGGAAAAAAGAACTTTCGGGGTTCCCTATTGCAAACAATACAAATCTCTCTGTTGGGCAATTACAATTTACAAACTGACTCTAGTCTCTCTTTCCAGACTGATCCTTCATGTACAGACCAGCCTACTTATTATTTCTCAACCATGATAATCCATTGGCCTCTCTGTGCCTCTTGTACAGGCTGCTAAGAAGTCATTCTTATGTCAGTGAGGTAGACAGAATACCAATCTGCTGGCACATTGACTCTTAAAGTTGGAAAGGAGTTCAGAGATAATTGAGTCCATCATCTCATTTTGAAGACGTAGAAACTGAACAGTAGAGAAATGAAGTCACTTCCCTAAGGTTGGATGAATATCAAAATCAGGATTCAACCCAGCTTCTGTAATTATTTTTAAAAAATTATTCTGGACTTAACATCAAATAAAATGAATATTTTCCAATACAAAGTAGAATACAGTCAATAGTCAATAACCATTTATTAAGCATTTACTATGTTACCAGGTATTGTGCTAAGTGCTGGTTATACAAATACAAACAAAGACAGTCCCTGTCCTCAAGGAGCTAACAACTTCATGGAGAAAGGTAGCTGATGTGAGGGCATGATGAAGACTTCCAAAGAAACCAAAAGTAGTGAGTGCTGGGAAGTATAAAAAAAATGTTCCTCAAACATACGTTCTGGGGCTTGTGGCCCTGCCCTCTAGTCAGAAGGTCTAATCAGAAAGGTAGAGGCTACTGATGAGATGTGTTCTGCTTGTCTGTTTTTTCCTTCTAACTCTCCTTCTGTTTGGTTTTGTTTTTTTTTTTTTTTGGCTAGGCCATGGAGCTAATTGACTTGCCCAGGCTCATACAGTGAGTAAGTGTTATGTGTCTGAGGCCACATTTGAACTCTGGTCCTCCTGACTCCAGGGACGGTGCTCTATCCACTGTACCACCTCGCTGCCCCCTCTCCTTCTGTTCTGTGCATTTTAAAAAATGCTTCAATAATAGTGTTTTCTTTTTGAGGGGGTAAATGGGGAAACCTATTGTTAGCTCGTCTTTCCTTCACACCTTTCCAACCAAAAAAACTGAGGGAAAAAATGATTGAAATAAATATGCACAGTCAAGCAAAACCAATTCCAACACTGACTGTCTAAAAATACCCATCTCATTGAACACCTTGAGTCCAACACTTCTATGTCAGGAGACAGGTAGCATGCTTCATCATTGGTCCTCTGTAAGAGCTGGTCATTATACACTGATCAGAGTTATTAAGTCTTTTATTTTATTTTCAATGTTGTATAAATTATTACCCTGGTTCTACTCACTTCAAACAGGCAACAATTTCACATTTCTCCAAAACTGTCCCTTTCCTCATTTTTTATGACCCAATAAGGTTCCATTACAGTCATATACCAAGATATGTTCAGGCATTTCCAAATTGATAAGTATCTCTCTAATTTTCAGTTCTTAACTAAAACAAAAAGAACTGCTCTGTTTTTGTACACATGGGTCCTTTTCCTCTTTCTTTGATCTTTTTGAGGTAAAGGCATAGTAGTGGTATCATTGGTTTAGTGACTTTGGGGATATAATCCAAATGCTTTGCTGAATGGCTAACTCAATTCACATACACACTAATTGTGCTTCAGTGGACCTCTTTCCACATGTTTTGGTTACTTTGCCTATCTGGAAAGTATAAGATGGATCCTTAATAGATCATATAATTCTGGGTTCTGTGAGCTCTCCCCTTTTAGACATTACCTTTGATTTAAATGATAAAAACAACAATAAACTCAGGAAAAAGGAGCAATCCAACAAAGCTGACACAAAACAGCTTTAATCAGATAAAGGAAAAGAAGAGAATAAATTCTTAACATTTAATAGAAAGGCCATATAGAGTGACACATGTTTAACTTCAAATATTGATGCGAAAGTTTTCTTCTTACTTTGGTTTCTTGTGATAATGATGATTTTCAGTAGTTTCTCAACCAGAAATGAATATGAATGTATAACAGGCTCACAAACAAATGTAAAGCTTAGTTACCAAACACCTACATTCTTATATATTTATTTTATTTACTTTAATGCTGACTCTCTTCCTCACATAAACACATTTAAAATGGGTCAATAAATGAATGTCAAAAGGAAACCCTTCCCCCCTTATAAGCCACATATGTCTTTTCTGCAATGAAATTTTTTAAAAAGAAGAAAATAGAACAAGTAATTCCCCCACACACATACACATAAATAGCCAAACTATAAATCTCATTATGGACATATCTGTCATCAGAGAAATAAAAGGTTTCAACCTTTACCTTTTTTCAACTGGGCATAAATACATATATGTTCAAGAATTCCCCAAATATATCCTGAAAACCTGAAGAATTATTTTGCTAGTCTTAAGTAATCACAAAATTTATCATGGGTTAAAATTTTAAACATAAAATGATTCCTGAAACTGAATTTTAATCATATAGATGAATCACAACATGCATCTTTAGCTAGGCATGTATTATGGATAAGTCTAGTTTCCTACCGAGAATAATCACATGTTCTAATTACCATTTTGGTTATACACATAATTAATAATATTCTGTCTTAATGGGACACATTGAAACTTCAGACAGTTTCATGTTTTAACTATGCATATTACCAAATCCTAATATCAGTTCTGCTGCCAAACACAAAGAAATCATGATGCTATATTTTAGAACTAATAATAATACTCATATCTTTATACAAAAATGCAATAAAAAAACCACTTGATTCTCTCTTGAAAGGTTGCTTCATGCTAATAATTTTATTTTACTGGGTTATCCATTTACCCTAAATTATTCATTTTGACCATTGATCTTACCAAAAATAAAAACACAAAAGTAAATGAGACAATGATTCACATACAAAAAGGATATTATGATGAATAGAACACAGACTTACTGAGTGTAAACTTTCATTTTCACGTAGACAAGCTGTTTGGAGCTCTGATTTCAGAGCTGAAATGTGGTTTCGATGAGATGTCATTTCCTTCTCTAATGTAGCAATTCTAGAGCTTGCAAGTTGGTAGACATCCATGAAACTTTTAATCATAGCCTAAAGAAATAAAAACAGTGTCACATACAATTCAAATAAAACTGTCCCCAAAGGAGAATCTACATAATTTGAAAGAGGAGTCATTAAAATTTGAAAACAAACAAGTTTTCATCTTTCTTGAAAGTAATAAAGCAAAACATTAACTTTTAGATTGAGAGCACTTGTATCTATTTTCAGAAAGTTTGGACTGCAATCATTGAAACTTTTTTCTAAAGTAAGTATTTTAATAAGATGTACTTTGATGTATTGTTTTCAAATTTGGAATGCAGTATTAAAAGTTGACATACTTTTTTTTTTTACTAGAGTTAACTGCAAATTACAATTTAACCTAAATTTTTATCTTAAGAGACATACAGTAGATAGATATTAACATGAATATATTAAAATGAGCTGAGTTGGTAAAAAAAATTTAGTTTACCTTGAAAAGTATGTTTTATAACAAAAAGAACACATATTTAGTAGAAATAACTTTATTACAATATAGTTAGGAAAATGTAATTATGTTCATGCTTATCAGAGAGTAATGTTTCTGCTATGTAATATTGATCAGGCTGATAATAAAGCTAATAGCACAGAGAACTTAAATGATCCCACATTTTCTGGTAACTTCATATGAAACCTAACAGTATAAAACTATTGGTATTACTGGACTTTATTACAACAGACTAATTAATTTTTTTTAGTTTTTCCTTATGAAGCAAGCTGAAGTGGGTTTTAGGTAAAAATACATCATCCACAACAACAACAACAACAAAACATATTATTATCACCATAACTAGCATTTGTTGTAGCAGTTTAAGTAAGATTTGCAAACCACTTTATTAATATTATTTCATTTCACAACAACCCTAAGAGGTAGATGCCATTATTATTATCCCCATGTTAAAGACGAGGAAACTTTGGCAGATAGTTTAAGTGACTTGCCTGAGATCACACAGCCAATAAGTGTATGAGGCTATGCTTAAATTCAGGTTTTCCTGACTATAGGCCCAATGATCTATCCACTGTATCACATAATATAAAACTTGCCTTTCAAAATATCTAATACAGGTTCAAATAAGTCCACCACCATTAAACATGTATCATTTCATATCATTTGTAACAGTTTATATAAAACAGAAGATGACCACAACAGCCAGACAATATATATTGTGACAGAGGAGCTCTGGTAATTTCTCCAGTAATTGGCATCTGATATAGTCAGCCTGGGAAAGTTTTTTTGAGAAAATGAGTATAAGCAATGTTTTGAGGGATTGAGAAGACTGGTTTTGGTGAGGACAAGAAAAAAAGGTGACAAGGTCTCCCAAAAAAAGGAAGGCTCATTGCAAAAGCTTTAAAACAGAAGCAGAAGCATGATTTATGGTTAAATATTGAGAAGATGTGCCATTTGGAAGACCAAGTCAAAGCATGTAGGGTTAGATAAAAAAAGATGTAAGGAATAGGAGAAACAATCTTAAATATTAATCTAATGAATAAATTAACATATGTGAAAAAAACAATATGACTAGTTGAAAGCCATAGTGGATAGGGGAATTAATCTCTTCATTGTCATTCTCGGACCTTAATAACCTGGTACTATCATATCTTTTCAGATTTGAATCTCCAGAGCCTAGCACAGTGTCTGTCACATAGTAGATGATTCACAAACATTTGTTCATTGACAAATTAATACATTTGTAACTTAGTGCTTTGTAAATCAAAGAACAGAAACGAATGCGGAAAGGAGTAACTATTCAACAAGAACTTTGGGAGAAAATGAGAAAAATTTAAAATCATTGTTTAACAGAAAATAATTTTAGAGCAAGATCTTATACCATATACCACACTAACCTTGAAGCGGATAGATGATCTCAATATAGAAGGGCATATTGTTACAAAAAATTAGAGAACTGAAGGAGGTATTTTCCACAGCAATGGTTAGGGAAAGGATTTACAACAAGAAAAAGGGGTAAAGGAGATTTTTTTTTTACCAGATATGTGATTTTTACTGATGTACAGAACTCCTAGTGAGGAAACATCTTTTCTTGATGTAGACTAGCATCGGTTCTGCAACTTACAATCTTAGGGAGATACCATTGAACATTACAAAAGATAATATAGAAAATTAGAACATGATTGCCTATAATTGAGATGATTTTGCAAGAACAAAATCAATATAGTTAAAATACAAAGAGAAATTACCGACTAGGAAAAATTGGAATCAATTTTAAATTAACACCATTACTCTGAAAAAGTCTGACATCAAAGATATAGAGAGAATTGACAACAAAAATTTTAGATTGAGTCATTTTCCTCGTAAATAAATGAACAAGAAAAGAGTTTCAAAAATAAATATAATCTATCAACAAGGAGAGAAGCAGTATGATATAGCAGACAGAGGGTTAGTCTTGTAGTTGGAGAGACCAGAGTTCAAATACTGCCTCTGACAAATGCTAACTACGTGAATCTGGGAAAGTCACAATCTCTCAATGACCTAGGCAACATGAAAAGACTTCAATTCCAGACAATCTGTCTAATTGCACCACTTGGGTGGGTGGGTGGGGGATAGGAAGAGGAGGAAGGTTTACAGACCATGAATTCCCCACGTCAATGACATCACAGACACTTCAAAACAAACCTTTAGTAAAAACACTTATGAAAAAACATTCCCAAACAAAAATAAAACAACTTCAAATTTACACCCACCTAGATCATAAAAGATCTTAAAGATAAAAAATACTTAATGTCAGAGATGTCATGTCACACTAACACAATGCTAGTAGGACTAGGGGTTGGTCCAACCATTCTGGAAATTGATTGGTATGAAAAGCTACCAAAATGGCTCATATTCTTTGATATAGGAACACGACTGCTGTGCACATGCATCAGAGGACCCAATGGCAGTAAAACAAATAAAACAAAATCTCTTAGCAGCATGACCTTGGAAAAGCCATGTCTTTAACTGAAAAAACTGTGAAAGCTGAAAAAGATGCCTTTGGAGGTACCTTCCAGCTTGCAGGTTATTATGCTATGATCCTTTATATACCACAAAACTCAAAACAGCACTTTCTATAGTAGCGGCCATGAGAAAGAAAGCAGGTACTCATCAACTGGGGAACAAATTGTATTATAGGAATATAATAAAAATTATTCCATAAGGAATGATGAATATGAAGAATCCTGAAAATTGTGAGAAGTCTTGCATAAAGTTATACAAAGCAAAGAAAGCAGAACCAGGAGAATAATATACACAAATAATAAGTAATATAAAAGAAAACAACAAGAAAAGATGACAGAACTTAGATTGACGACTGATAATGGTCCCAGATGACTTAGATAGCAGAGAGGAAAAAGACCAAGAGTATACAAAGTTTCTTATTTTCTTTTTGTTAGTTAAAATCACTGTATAAGAAGAATGCACCAAACTGGTTGTTGTTACTGTTATTATAAGGTAAGATACTACGGGAAATGGGGAAGATTAGTGCGAAGTGATGATGATGTGAAAACCAAAATGAATTAAATTTTAAAAACTCTGACCTACACTTGATCTAATGTGCCTTTGTAATGTGCCACTCCCAATCTGCCTTCCCTTCTGTCACTTCTCCTCTTTCCCCCTGCCCCACTTAATCTCCTCCCCTCCTACCTTCCTGTTGGGTAAGATATATTTCTATTACCCAACTGTGTATATTACTCCCTCTTTGAGCCAATACTGATGAGAGTAAGGTTCAAGCAATGCCCATCGCCTACCCTCCCATCTTCACCTCTACTATGATAGATCTTGTGCACCTCTTCATGGGAAATAATTTACCCCATTCTTACCTCTCCCTTTCTTCTGCACCCAGTGTACTTTTCTTTCTCATCTCTTAATTATTTTTTGTCATTTCCTCAAATTCGCCTTATACCCATGCCCTCTGTCCATGTATATTCCTTCTAGCTGTACTATTAGTGACATAATTTTTTTAAGATTTACAAGTATCATCTTCCCATGCAGTAATATAACCAGTTTAACTCTATTGAATCCCTTATGTTTTCTTCTCCTTTTTCCTCTTTTTCCCATTTTAGGCTTCTCTTGGTCTTGGTATTGGAGACAAATATTTTTGTTAAATTCTGATCTTCTCCTTATGATAGCTTAAAATGACCATTTCCCCCTTCAATCTATTATGCTTAGATTCACCAGGCAAGTAATTCTTGGTTGTAGTCCTACCTCCTTTGCCTTCTGGAATTTCCTTGACCTCTGACCTTTTAATGTTGCAGCTGCTAAGTCCTGTGTAAACCTGATTGTGGCTCCCTAATATCTGAATTGTTTCTTGGGGAGAGGGAAGAGAGCCAAGATGGTGGAGTAAAAGCAGTAATTTGCTTGAGTTCTCACCCAAGCCCCTCCAAATACCTGTAAAAAATGTCTCTAAATAAATTATATAGCAGCAGAACCTACAAAAAGACAGAGTGAAACAAATTTCCAGCCCAAGATAACTTGGATGGTTGATTAGAGAGGTCAATTGTGCCAGGTTGGGAGAGGAACACAGTTCAGCGTGGGCGTGCAGGCAAAGACCAGGCCTCAGCAAATCTGGAACAAGTCTCAGGGGACTGAATCACAGGCAGTTTTGGGGATTTCCAGACTTCTCAACCCACAAACGCCAAAGACAACTTAGAAGGTCAGTAGGAAAGGTCTGTTGGACCTCGGTGAGAGAGAAGCTTGCTCCTAGCCCTAGTGCCAGTGCTGCCCTGGGGTGGCAGCTGCTTCCAGAGCTCTTGGTCCACAGAAGGAAGGGGAATCCAGTGGCTGATCAGAGGGGATTTCAGGGATCTCTTTGCTGGTGCTGAGGCAGGATTCTCTTCCTTTACCCGTGCTTAGATCCGGGTCACAGTTTATGTTGGTGGTGGTCCTGGGGTGAAAAGGAGCGCTGCTGTGGTGGAGCTTGTGGTGGCAATAGAGAGGGAATCCTCCTCACAGTACCAAGGCAGAAAAGAGTGCTTGTGCTCACTCACAGACCAGAACCTAGGCCAGGAAAGGAGTACACACT